AGGAGGAGGAGGAGGAGGAGGAGGAGGAGGATAACTTGCCTGTCGGAATCCTTTGTAGTAGTGCCAGAACCCACAAACTGCATGTGCTCCAGCCAAGCCACATGTCGACATGCCCGGAACACATGGGTCCAGCACTCGGGCGCTTGACAAACCATCTCCAGTCCGTTCGCCAGCACCGTCTCCAAACTCAGAGCTTGACTGGTGTGCAAGCGGGCCGCGCTGCCGCCCGAAAGCCAAGCACCGCCGGCCAAACCGGCCGTCTCAGTCGTCTTCTGAGGCTGAGCCGCTTCAGCGGCCACGGCTGCGACCACGGCAGCCTCGGCCACGTCGACAAGCAGGCCGTACACGTCGCTACAGCGAGCCTGTAGGCCAGTCAAACTGGCGAGTCGAGCGGCCTGACGGAGGCAGGCCAAGCTTTCGACGAGCGCAGCGCCCAGTCTACGATGTTCCTCGCGCTCGGCCTCACCTGTCAGCAGCTGCAAAAAAAGTTCGGGCCCAGAGAGGACCAAATTTCCTTCCGTATCTGGCCGAAGGTAAAGCAGCCCGAAAAGAGGGGAGAAATGAAATTTTAAATAGACAAAAATAAAAGTGGAAGAAGAGAATGTGAACCTAACCATACATCCGCTCATATCCATATTTTCGAAGAAGATGAATTTTAAACGAAATGTGGTGTATACATCTCATTTATCTGATTTATTGGTAGTCTCGAGACTCTTCTTCTAAACTAAAAATAAGTAATTTAGTCAATAAGTATACTTAATATAACTTCGCTTCATCGGAAATTCCAACACAGAATGTGATATGGTAAAATTCCGGCCTTCCTTGAAATCGCATCTGCTCTGTGACCCACTCGTGGCAATGTGGCGTAGTGGTTAACGTGCCGAGCTTACACGCTACACTATCATGGTTCGACTCATGCTGGTTGTGTTAATAAGACCCAGGCGAAGTCGAACCTGCCGTCCATCCTGGATGAGAACAACTTTTGGGAAAGCAAGGCAATGTGAAATCCAATGGAAACGTCAGCTCTACTCATA